AGAGAAAATCTGTGTAAGCGAGGGAGGGTGCTTAATGTACTGCACTTTGCATTCAGTAACATTTTTTGGAATAATCTCCCACAGCACTTTCATTTGAGATCTCGTCTGGGATCCGGGGGAGTAGAGGCAGCTCAGCAGGCCGTCAGGTACTTGACAATTGGCCACAAAGTAATACGAAAGCACGGCAGTTAGAGGCAGCCTAGAGAAGAACAACTCATAGATGATTAGAATTTACCAGGGCTTTGTACTATTTGACTGTATTCTGTAATGTCCTAGGTGATAAGACAGGCTGTACCCTTAGCATATGTAGAAGACACTAAGTTAGGAAAGGTAGGGAGAGCAAAAATTAAGATACTCAGTTCAAAGGGACTTCAGTAAACTTGAAGATTCAGCCAAAAGAAATCTCATGCAGTTTGTTATGGAGAAATGCAAATTTCTGCACATAAAACAGGACAACTGTTTTCACCAGCACGGGCTGGGAAATGACAGGCTTGAGCTCCCTGCTAAGGTTAGGGTCATCTTTACCAATTGATGGATCTTCAAAGGGATGACTGTTGCTCTGTCCAGAGACTATGAATAAATAGAACCCTGCAAGCAGCTGAGGTTTCAAGTGAAACATTTGGTCTTCCAACAAAAATATTACTGAAACAGAGACAAAAGCACAGCAGTAGTGTCTGGAGACACCGACACAACACACGTCACCATTTTACAGACTTGGCTTCCTCCAGAAACACACAGCTCAAGACAAAATCAAATATCTTTTAGCAGGAATGTGAACAGTAGGTTTATTTCTTTGAAAACTATGTCCCAGAAAGGCTGCTTGGGGGACAAGTGTTTCAGCTGCTCTTAAGTACTTACGACTCTATAGGAACTGGCAGTGTTCAAAAGAAATGCTTCTTGCCCAGTACATCTCTGCAGGATCCCAGGCGAGGAGTGGGACTTAAAAGCCTCTGCTGTGTTGCAAACGTTATTCTTGACAGACTTCTGTAATGTTATTAATGCTTAATGCATCAATGTATCAGGAAGCTTGTGTGCTTAAAATACCCCTTTGGAAAGCAAGTAATAATTTAAGGGAAGCAGCTAAGTATCAGCTGAGTTGTTGAGCAGCTGGGTTGCTGCCTCTCTGAGTGCAGGACCAGATATGAACGATGTGGTACAGATCTCTGACCTCATGGGTCACCCTGCTCTAAAATCACCTGCAGGGACATCAGAGAAGCCTGGTTCTGGACTCAGCCCTTTGCTTCTCCTTATGGGAAGCCTGGAGTCCAGGGAAGACAACATGGGCAAAGCAGTGCTCTGGAGCCCATCCTCAACTTACTTTCCTGTCTTCTCTCCTGTTCTAAAACAGCTTACCTCAAGGAACTTGGTATTTATTATCTTCCCAACACTGGTCTAGGAGTTCCTTCAGCCTTTCCCCATATTGCTACTCAGCTATACCAGCTATCTAGGGAGCCCATCAGCACCTGCCCTTACCTCACTAGCATGGGGAGAACTGCTAGGCTGCCAAGTGGCTTGTGACAGGGGAGAGAGAGACCAATGTATTTTAGCTTCTAGTCTGTGTGCGGTGTGTAGGGGACAATGCCTTTGGAAGCCTCCTCCTGTCAAGGTAGATATCAGACTCACAGTGTTAGGGTGTGGGTGCCAAGGACAACATTCCTTGGGAAATACTTGTGCAGTGGCCCTTCCTGCCATCGCTGCTGGAGACCAAAGCTGTGATATCATCATTTTCCATGAGGAAATGGCAGACAGATCCTGCTGGTTTGCAGAGGAACAGAGCAATAACTCAGACAGCTTGCACTTACTCTTTTGAGGGCAGCTGGCATGGCACAAAGGAAGTGAGAGGTCTTCTGGAAAATTTTGCCCATGTGGATCATGTGATGTGTAAGAAGCCGCACACTGTGCATAGCAAATGGCTGCCCTCAAAGGTCAGCACAAGCTGCTGGGCTGTGCTGGAGCACTTTCCTTGCCCCGTTAGAGCCTGTGTGGTTTCTAGACATGGCAGCAGGAGAAAAGTTATCAACAATCCAAAGCAGCCCCATTTCTTATATCAGAAAAAGGGCGACTGTAAACACCATAACCTCAGCTTTGCAGTGTGGCACAGAAAGTGGAATATGTGTGCATGGGGATACAGACAATGAGGACTACTGGGGTAGATTTAGACACCTGGATTGTATCTGGTGTGTTGTTTGCAGTTGTATCTACATGTGACAGGTTGCCATCCACCACATTTCCCTGCAGTCAATGTCCAGCACTCTGTAAACATTTTCTTTTAGATAGCCCATGTGAGAAGAATTTAATATTTACTTAATTACATGAGATACTGACTTAAGAGAGTTATGCAGTTATTTACTGAGATCACATCAGAAACACAATATATCAGTTGTGATACAGCTGAATATCATTGCAAACATGATTCTCATTACAGGACACTGTATACTCATAACAACAACCGTCCTCAGTCACCCAAAAGGAGTAAGCTGTTTGTCGCCTCTGGCCCGTTGCTCTCTTCAAAATTTGTTCTGCATGTTGTCCAGCTTCTATAACTTACACTGGGCTGGACCACATATATATTGTCACTTCACACCCTCCATGATGCCATAGCAGGAAGAAAATAATTTTTTTGTCATGATCTGAGGGAACCTGGTGATTCACTGACAGTTCTGTCTTATTTTAAACCAATTACTCTCCAGTCTCCCTGGTGTTGACATAAGTTCATCTTTCTTTACCAAGGCTCATTAATTTTCTTTTCCTCTTCTCCTCTCTGTTATGGGGTGGGCTGGTCTGCCACAAGTGCCCGGGTTCTCACTTCAAGGGAAAAATCTGTTTCATTTCCCCAGATAGCCCAGGTGAGATCGGATATGTTTTCAGCATGGCTGATAACAGGAGCATGGAGCAATGCAAAGTTAGGGTCTGTATGACCTTTTTCATTCACAAAGAGAAGATCACAATTCCATTTTATTCCCCTTCATAACTGACAGATAATATTTCAAGCAGAGTACGAAGTAGAATCTGTTCATGAGTCATCAGTGCAAGAAGTACCAATTCACCAATACTGATAAAACACTGCAAACTGCTAGTTTGAAAAGTACAGACAGCTTTCCAGAAGATTATTCATGCATGTTTCTACAGTATAATGTCTGGCAGTATTTTGTTTTTTGTTTTTGTCTAATATTGATTTGAGATTTGATACCTGAAATTCCATTTCCATTTCATTAATGATTTTGTTCCTAACGTCAGGATTAATGGATAACTATTCTAATTTGTAACTCTAAGGTTTCCAGTGCAGATACAAATCCCTCCAGAAATCCTTTCTAGTGCAAGACTTTAAACACAAATGAGAAAACATCACATTAGTTCACTACAGGATGAAGAAAACCGATGTATGAGCATGGCAGCCAAGAACTTGCAATTGTAATCCAAAAGATGACTACAAAGATCATACGGACAGATAGGGGTTGTTCTCAATGCACCAGAGTCATTTGCCTCTGCCTTGCAGAATTAATGTCTTGAATCCACCTTGTGAATATTTCTTCAGTATATGTATGTACTAAATATATATATATATATATTTTAAGTGGCAAATGCTACTGCTAGAGCACTGTCACTACCAGGTATTAGCAGGGGTTGAGGAGCAGAGAGGGAAGACTTCTGGAATACAGCATTCTGCTGCTAATGAGGAACTTGTAAGTAAGGGAAAAAACATCGTAACTAACTTAGAAACAAACAAGCAAAACAGTTCTTTAGAATACAAACAGCAGCAGATACATGGTAACTCCTCCAACATAGAGAAAGGATGTTTGAGGAGGACTGCAACAAATCTAAGGGGATTTAGATTATGACAAATTATACGATTACTTAGAAGCTAGGCATTACTCCTCATCTGTGCAACCAGAGGCATAGTTGTTAAAGATAACAGAAGAAAAAAAAGTGGATGCCTCTAATAAGTGAACTACACCAGCTGAAAAGGACATAGAAGTGATACTGACCATGAAAATATTTTAGGATAGTGTAAGAAACAATTTTTTGAATTGTTTCTTGAATAGTCAGGATAATTATCTCCGATTTTAAGTCTAACACTTCAGCAAAATTAGAACAAAAACCTCCTTCAGCTATGCGGCAGAATTAAATTCCTTTATTGTTGAACAGAGTGAAGTTGAACAGTGCAGTACCTAGCAGCTCAGTAAATGATTTATGTTCTAATTGTAGTAGAATTTGAAAATAGTATGTTGAAATTATACTTGAGAGGACAGAATAAAATCAAACTTGAGAGATGATAACCCCGTTCTTACAAAACCAAACAAATGAGCCAAACTGAAAAGTGGTAACAATTTAATATCAATATACCTATCTGAAAAATCTCCTATTTTATCTTCTGATGAATATAAGCTAATAGACTCAGACTTGCCTGTGTAAGAAAGGAAAGAGTATCAATTTCCCTATTTTGGACACAGAAATCAAGCAATGAAAAGTGTATTTTAGAAAATCTGACAGCACAAATGTGTGAAGTCTGCCCAAGTGCAAGGGCAGCATAACAACATTTTGAAACACTAAAAATTCTGAAAAAAAGTTTATTAAATTCTAAAAACATGAAAAAAAACTAAAAGGAGAAAATGATAAATAAACAACAGTGAGAAAACATTGGGAATTTAAAGTAATTCAAACAAACATTGGGTGGTACAAAATAATAAAATAAAGGACATACTTGTAAAAGGTTTACACGAATACTGATAAAGGGAGAAAAAACACTTTCCAATTCTTAGGACCATTTACTAAGTCGGGAGTATTCACTTGAGAAGGTGTAATCCTTACAGCCCAACTCAGCGTTTAACTGGGGGCGCTGCGTCATCACCCGCCATGCGGGAGGCAGCAAAAACGGCGGGAAGGCTTCCCCCTCCTTCTTGCGCCAGCGCGCGCGCGCGCGCGCTCGCTCGCTCACCGCAGTCCCCAATCAGGTCGGCTCTCGCACTACAAATATCCCCTCTCCCCAACAGCCCCCACGCATTTCTTCTCGGTTACCGCGGCGCTCAGCATGTCCGGCAGAGGCAAGGGCGGGAAGGGGCTCGGCAAGGGGGGCGCCAAGCGCCACCGCAAGGTGCTGCGCGACAACATCCAGGGCATCACCAAGCCGGCCATCCGCCGCCTGGCGCGGCGCGGCGGCGTCAAGCGCATCTCGGGGCTCATCTACGAGGAGACGCGCGGCGTGCTCAAGGTCTTCCTGGAGAACGTCATCCGCGACGCCGTCACCTACACCGAGCATGCCAAGAGGAAGACGGTCACGGCCATGGACGTGGTCTACGCGCTCAAGCGCCAGGGACGCACCCTCTACGGCTTCGGCGGCTAAAGTAATCTGACGTTAGACTGCGCTTTTAAAACACCCCAAAGGCTCTTTTCAGAGCCACCCACTTACGCTGGAAAAGAGCTGTGTCCTTTCAACCTAGTCGTAACTTAATACTGAAACCACTTTTTCACAACTTTGATATGTAAATAGTTTGCTAGGTAGCCCTGTTAAGATTAAAGTACTAAAGTAGTTACATGAAACTGCGCTTCTCTGTCAGACTGGGGATCGTCACTCAGAAGTGAATATATACAGCCATATCAACAGCTGATGGCTTCAGCACTTGCTTCACCGAGAAATTTGGTTAAATCGCGGGAGAGGCTCTTTGAGCTCCGTGCCGGGGCAGGCGCCGGCGAAGCCCTAAGAGTCCGTTAGAGGTGCTGAGGGTGTGAACAAGGCATGTAGGAGCGGATTCGTATTCAGATCGCTGTGTTCTTCACAGGGCCGTGCGGAAAGGCGGTCGGGGGAAGAGAATGGAGGAGGGGTTTGGGCACGGCTGCTCGTCTCGGGAGCGTACGCTTCTAAATACCGAAATGATACTGGATCTCCCAATCGTACAAAAACGCCTCGTATTCTCAGCGTGTGTTTTAAAACTTACAAACGTATTTCAGTGTAGAACTGCTGAAGGCAGTGCAACTCCTTGCATCCGCTTTCCCTACGCCGTTTCCTTTCACCCGAAACAGCATCTGCTCAAGTGCTTTCCAGCCAAGAAATGTGCACTGCACTCTTTGTCCTGTAAGCAGTTCCCAGACGCTGGGAGCACCGTTCCTTGAATCGCAGCGACCGGAAGGCACCTTGGTACCACCGTGTGCTGATTTGGTACCGCGACACCAAATTCTCTTTATGCAGCCGGATCTGCCAGGAGTGAGTTCCTGCCGAGAAACTGCTGTATCGCATCTGTAGCCAAAACTCGAGTACATATGAGCCGAAATAAAAAGGATGTCCGTGTCTCATACACTCGAGAAACAGCAAGTAGAGGTTCATCTTTCCTATGTGGGGGGGGAACTTTGTGCAGGTTGTGACCCAGTACGGCAGTCGCCGCTCGGACCGGGCGCAGCTGAATACAAAAGGGACGCCTACGGAGTGGGGGGAAGGTGAGCACCACTACCCGGTAACGGAAGTGGCGCGCTTTCTAGGCGCGCTTTTTGAATTTGAAAGCATCCAATAAAAACGGACTCTCCAAGCCAGCCAATCAGAGAGGGGCGCACACTATAAAATCCGCCACAGACACAGCGCGCTACCATTCCTCGGCGGTGCTCCTGAGCGGTTACTCGGCTGTGTCAGAGCGATGGCGCGCACGAAGCAGACGGCGCGTAAGTCGACGGGCGGCAAGGCGCCCCGCAAGCAGCTGGCCACCAAGGCGGCCCGCAAGAGCGCGCCGGCCACGGGCGGCGTGAAGAAGCCGCACCGCTACCGGCCCGGCACGGTGGCGCTGCGCGAGATCCGCCGCTACCAGAAGTCCACGGAGCTGCTGATCCGCAAGCTGCCCTTCCAGCGCCTGGTGCGCGAGATCGCGCAGGACTTCAAGACCGACCTGCGCTTCCAGAGCTCGGCCGTCATGGCGCTGCAGGAGGCGAGCGAGGCTTACCTGGTGGGGCTCTTCGAGGACACCAACCTGTGCGCCATCCACGCCAAGCGCGTCACCATCATGCCCAAGGACATCCAGCTCGCCCGGCGCATCCGCGGGGAGCGCGCCTGAGGCCGCTGTCCTTCCATCTCTTTCATCCTCGCACCCTAAAGGCTCTTTTAAGAGCCACCACGTTGCCCCTCAAGGGAGCTGTGACACTGCTTACTAATAACTGCATACTTCAGTTACTTCGTCTTCAACTTTATTTAAGGTATTGTAAAGTTATGGGACTGCTTTATAGAAACGAGTAATCATTTTGTGCTCCTTACATCTTCCCTATGGATGGGTGGTGGAAATTGTGCAGAAAAAGTGTTTATAAGTGCCTCTAAGGAGCATTCTACTTTCTCTGTAAGCGCTATTTATACAATACAGATCTTGAGGGGGTATTTTTTTTTTTTTTTAATGTGTGTAAACGGTATTAAGTGATGCATTAATTCGGGCTTTGACACTTCTGTTGCTAAAATATTAGTGTGAGAGCTATATCATACGGTAGGTTAAAGTAACCTTCCACATTTCTTTTATTTCACTGCAAATTGGCCCTTTGTCTAGTTTTAATGTCCGCTGCAGGAGGTTGTACTTTTAAGGAACATTAAAGGTAGGTATTATTTGAGTTTGTGTATAAAATAACTAATTTAATTTCAGTGTTTTCTTTATAAATGCATTCAGTCGTTGCTTGTGCTGGGATACAGTCAAAACTTAATGCTTCAATAGACGTGTAAGTGTTCTAGTGGATAAAGCAAAATCACTAATAAAGGCTGGTATTAGGGACAACTAGGATATTCAAGTAATCTAAATTGCTATTTATCTTTGATTTATTACTTGGAGACCTGAATAAATTAGCCTGAGTATCTTTCAAGAGGGGAACTTGGATAAAAGAAAAAAGGAGGGAAAAAAAACAAAAACAAAGAAGATTGAAACAAGGAATACAAGTAGGAAGACAGGATCAATGTTTACTAGATTTTAGTTCATTCATTAGACTTCTGTAGACAGAAAATTGAAGTTGGTATTGAATTGCTTTGGTTTCACGTTGCATTGTGCTCAGTTTTGCGGGCGCAGCCTTTCAATATCTCGGTGAACTCATATTTCTGTTCATTCACAAATAAAACATTTGGATTCCCATGACTTTTGTTCTTAGGGTGTCTTTCCTCTGCCTTTGATAACGAAGTGTGGCCTATCCCACATGCTGCTGTAATGTTATCATCCACGTTGGTCTCCAGGGAGAACATAGTTATGTGAGGATGGCATCTAGGGAACTCCACAGTAAGATTCACGGAGTGTGGTGTTTCAGAAATAACATGGGATATAAAAGAGGCCAGGGACAGGACATATTCATAGCATAACCATAGATATAGAATCACAGAATGACCAGGGTTGGAAGGGACCTCAAGGATCATGAATCTCCAACCCCCTTCCCACACACAGGGCCACCATCATCCCCATTTAATACTGACCAGGCTGCCCAGGGCCTCATCCAGTCTGGCCTTGAACACCTCTAGGGCTGGGGCATCCACAACCTCTCTGGGCAGCCTGTTCCAGCACCTCACCACTCACAGTGACATCCAACCTAAATCTCCCCTCCCTCAACTTAAAACCATTTCCCCTGTCCTGCTATTATCTACCCTTTCAAAGAGTTGATTTCCCTCCTGTTTGTAGGCTCCCTTTAGGTACCAAAAGGCTGCAATGAGGTCACCCCACAGCCTTCTTTTCTTCAGGAAATACAAAGGGGAAGGAAAATGGCAAATGGCAATGCCTGGTTGTGAAAGCCAGACAGGGATGTAGAACATACATACAGAAAACTATACATGTAGATACGTGTGTGTATATGCATATTTGTATGTACGCATTTCCTTCACTCAGTATCCCTTTAACTTTTTCTCAATTCCCTCTGTCCCAGCACGACACGGATTAGTTATTCTGTCTAACTCTGCCCTCTGTGACTCCAGTGTTGCTATAAGGGATGATCAATTTAAAAAAAATGACTTTATCTCTTTACACATTAACACCTGAGGAGCAAGGGATGAAAATCTGATAAATGGAAACTGCTCCTGTTGGAGTGACATACAAATAGTGTCCACAAGTTTAATTTTAAAGGATTAGATATATATCTGACTATAAGACTATGTATAGTAGGCTACATAATTTTTGTTTTTATTGTTCCATGTCAGGAACAGACTTTTTTTCTCAGCTGGAATTGCTTTGTAGCTAGGTACCAATTTGAGGTTAGCGAAGGTTAAAACGTTTGAACATACAGAGCTGAAAGTGATGAGGGGGGTCGCAGTATGAATAAAGAGCACATTGCTGGACAGGTACTGCTGCCTGGCATGGTGCAGGCCCAGGCACTGCGTGGAGCTATCAGACAGCAGTCAGTGGAATCCACTCCCAAAAGTGGATATGGAAATTATTCAGTGTGTGTATGTATACATGTGTGTGTATGTATATATGTGTGTGTGTATACACATTCTGTTTGAAATAGAAAATCAAAACATAGCTTCTCTGTCCGTTACAGAGATCACAGCCATTGCACTCAAAGCTTGGTGACACTGCAGCTCTGTACTTCCACTGCAATTTAATTTCAAAATAACATATCTCCAATGCAGGTATTCACTGTTTCGAGGAGCTTTATGGGACAGAGTGGAGTAAGAAGGAACAAATCAGTGCTCACTTGGGGCTGCTGCCTACCCTGTATGCTGAGCAACATGCTGTCCTTCTTTTCTGTTTCTGTTGGAATGCTGACGATACAGCAAGCAGGTCTAAGGGAAAATGCAAATACACAGAGAAACTTCTGCTGGCAAGAGGTGACTGCTCTAGCAACTTACAGCATTCCTTATCTGTTCTGTACCCTCACAGCCCAGGTACAGAGCACATGCTTTCGAGCCATGGGAAAACAGAAAATTATTTCCCACATTCATGGGAAAATTCCTTTTGCTCCCTGTTGCAAGTCTGAAGCCTAATTTTTAACTGACACAAAACCTTGTTAGATTGGTCCCTCTTCTGTGTGTGATAATGGAGATTCAAGCAGAAGTCCTTGTACTGAAGATGTCCTCAACTGAGAAAGCTGTATTTACCTTAATATGTTATCCTAATTCTAATTCTAACTGCAGGGATCTGATTGCTCAGAACTGTATCAGCCCCTGTATGAATCCTGATTACTACGTGTGCTAGCAAAGGATCAAGTACAAATATATATACTGATTACTGGCAAAATATACAATTTACAACCCGAGGCTTTTATGAAACTCCTACTGAAAAACTTTACATCCTCAATTTACTCAGGAAATTAGTGAGCTATGATTAACCGTAGACATTTCAGTGCAATGAAAACTGTATCAGGAGCTGGAGCTACAAATAAAGTACTGGTCTGTGAAACAAAGAGTTCAAGGATTAAACATCTCAAACACAGAACAGTGCTTCAGCTCTTCTTACTGTGCATGGAGTGGCTCTTAAAAGAGCCTTTGGGTCTGTGTGGGCTGCCTCGGCCTCTGCTGGAAGAGAAGGGGGATGGGCTGCGCCTCAGGCGCGCTCCCCGCGGATGCGCCGGGCGAGCTGGATGTCCTTGGGCATGATGGTGACGCGCTTGGCGTGGATGGCGCACAGGTTGGTGTCCTCGAAGAGCCCCACCAGGTAAGCCTCGCTCGCCTCCTGCAGCGCCATGACGGCCGAGCTCTGGAAGCGCAGGTCGGTCTTGAAGTCCTGCGCGATCTCGCGCACCAGGCGCTGGAAGGGCAGCTTGCGGATCAGCAGCTCCGTGGACTTCTGGTAGCGGCGGATCTCGCGCAGCGCCACCGTGCCGGGCCGGTAGCGGTGCGGTTTCTTCACGCCG